CTCAATGACTTTTCTTCACTTTTCCTCAGTGGCTAGGACTGAAGGTATTTGTTAGGATAGCTGTGATTTATGTACATTTTGACTACTGAAGGCTCCAAGCCTAAAGATCATTCTTGTTTTTGTTTGTTTTTTTTTAACGTGTCTGAATTTGATATATGTTCACAACAGAAACATTCCAAGTATAGAACAGACATAGCTCTAATGGAATTCTGTGTGGTGATGTCTTTCTTTTCTCCACAGTTCCGATACTCATTTAAGCAGGTATTTGCCACGCATACCACCCAGAAGGAAGTTTTTGATTTGGTAGCTAACCTTTGGTAGATGACCTCGTTCATGGCAAAAATGGTATGATTCTTGGAGTTTTGTTGAACTCCCTGTTTCATCTTGTGATAAAACTTTGTGATATTTATATATTTGGCTTGACATTGAATTCATCTTTAACTCATTAGAGTGATGCTATTTTTTGTGGTTTATTAATTTTAGTGTTTTAAATACAATGAAAATGTTCTGTGGGACTTTAAGACTATAACTCATTGTTACTTGCTACACTGTAGGACTTCTGTTTACGTATGGCGTGACAGGAAGTGGAAAAGCCTATAAAATGACAGGGCATCCGGAGACTGGAGGCCTGCTTTCCTCACTGTTTGAATATGATCTTTAACTCCATAGGGTCATTTCAAGAAAAACGTTACATATGTACAATTTCGTTGGTTTGTGACTGTTACTATAGACACAGGACTGGGACATGGATGGATGCAGTACTGAGGAAGGACAAAAACAATGGGACTGCTTTGACTCTTACACGTGGTGGTAGGCACGTTGGCTGCGGGCCTGTGGTTGGCAGCGCTTGGGTGGTATAAACCAGAGGATCAAGCGCTGTCTCATGCCCTTTCCCCAGGTTTAAGTGTTAATGTGCATCCTATTTTTAAATGTTCCTATTCTTTAAGTAAAGTTCTTATTTTCAAGTCTTTCTTGCCTCTCTCTTAGACGTTTAAGTCTAATCATAGGAACAGCATGGAGATACAGCCTGAAGTTTGATGCCTTGTTGGAACGGCAGAAAAGAGAAGCCATGCCCATTCCAAAGAGCCACTCTAGCAAGTGAGTAGGTGACTCAGGGCGGGTGGAATTCTGTCCTACAGTTTCTGTAGATCTGGAGAAGAAGGTAAATACGAATTAGAAAAGTTGGTCTTACAACTGACTTTTGTGAGGTCAGAATTGAGGCGGCACATTCTTGACTGCTCAGGTATTTTATCTAGTTTAAGGAGGATATGTCTGTGAATGGGAGGAAGGTGAATTCCTGTGTTGTGCATCTTGAGGACTTAGGGTGTCCTTGACCCACCTTGAATCTGAATAACATTGCTTTATGATTTCAACTTTATGTGACAGAGCTTTTGTCAGACTTTTCAGGTTTCACTCTGATATCGTCTCAATTAGGTTTCTATTGCTGTGATAAAATATATTATTGAACAGGGAAGCAGCTTGAGGAGGAAGGGATTTATTTTATCTTTCACTTCCAAGTAACAGTCCATCACTGAGAGAAGTCAGGGCAGGAACTCAAGGCAGGAGTTGATGCAGAAGCCATGGAGGGCGCTATTTTCTGGTTTGCTCCCATGGCTTGCTCAGCTTACTTTCCTATACAACCCAGGGCCACCTGCCCAGGGTTGGTACTACACACATCAATCATTAATGAAGAAAATGCTAGACAGACTTGCCTGTTGGTCAGTTTTTTAGAGGTGTACGTATTTTCTCCAAGTGAGAACCCCTTTTCCCAAAGACTCCAGCTTGTGTCAAGTTGACATAGAACCACCCAAGACAGCTGTTATCTACTTTCTATCCTAACTCATAGTGGGTAAATTTTGAAGTAAGGGAATCTGTTTTCTTGTTGTAGGCGACAAGCAGATTCAGAGTTTGCACATATGATAGACATACAAGAATTCTGCAAAGCAGAAGAAGTTGATGAGGACAGTGTCTATGGTGTACTCATCTCTTTCATTGAAATCTATAATGATTACATATATGATATGCTGGAAGAAGAACAGTTTGATCCCATAAAGCCCAAGTAAGTACTGAAGAGAGTCTCCTGTCAACCTAGAAAACTACCCTCAGCAAGCCATGGTTACTTATATAAATGGGGATAATGCTTGCATTTGTTTTCAGGGTGTACAGAAATAATCAGATAGTCATGTTGGATGAATAACTTTCTTCCATTTTCCTTGTTGTTACTGTTGTTGTTGTTTTGAGACAAGAGTTTCTCTGTGTAGGCCTGGCAGTCCTGATACTCGTAGAGAGATCCAATGGCCTCTAGCTCCTGAGTGCTAGGATTAAAGGCGTGAGCCATCACTGCCTGGCAATCCTAAGACTGTAGCGGTATCAGGAAACCAGAGGGTTAAGACATAGAAAGTAACCTGAAAATCATGCAAATTGCTTTTGAAAATTTAGTCTTAGGTTTGAGACAAATCTCAGTTTTATAGGTACTGTTGGGGTACCTTTCAAAACCCTGACAGTGCTGGGTGTCTGTAGTCTTTTTGGCTGTCTGTGTCCTGGTGATCTTATGAAATTGATGCTTGTCTGAACACATAATTCCTACCTCACCCATTGCTGATTAGTGTAAAGCCATATTGCACTACCATTCTGCCAGAAGTAAATGCTACTCCTTAGGTATCGCTGGGTCTTGCCTTGCAGAATGTGAAGACCAGATACCATGTAGCTTTACAAAAGTGGCTCTCTTTGTTCCAGAGCTGACAAAAAAATTTGTGTCAAATGACGAGTCCACTGTGGATGCTTTTATTCTTCAGCTAAAGGCTGGTCTTGCATGCTGTGTTTACTGCAGCCAGTTAGAATGTAAATAGTATGGAGCCCTTTGTCTTGCATATAACATTTGTGTATATGTATGTATGTGTAAATGTGTAAATGGACATTACTGTGGGAACAGCTGGATCTAGAAAACCATTAAGCTACAAACAGACTCATGTCCACTAATGTTGGTGTGCTCACTAATACGAAAAATACATGAACTCTGGTTGAGCATATACTTGATATAGAATTTCTGTGGCTTTTACTGAGTTGCATTTCAAAAAAGGATATTATATCCAAGCTAGGCCCCCATGTGGTGACATTTTGGGGGGGATCTTATGTAAATTTATATAATTAAAGAATGGATATCTTAGGAGCATGCTTGTTTTCTTTTTTTTTTCTTTCTTTTTTTTTAAATTAGTAACTCTTTTTATAAGTTTTTGGTTTTTAGAGACAGGGTTTCTCTGTGTAGTCCTGGCTGTCCTGGAACTCACTCTGTAGACCAGGCTGGCCTCGAACTCCTAAATCTGCCTGCCTCTGCCTCCCAAGTGCTGGGATTAAAGGCATGCACCACCACTGCCCAGCCTGATGCTTATGTTCTTACACTTGCCTTTTGCCATCTGGATCTCCTTAGTGCTACCAGCCCTGTCTCTGACTGGGGCCTGTCATTCCTATTATCTTGGTTGTGTCAGAACTGTGTGGGGTGGATGTTACTACTGGGGTTAGAGCTGGGGCCTGGGATCTGCTCAGTGCTCGGGCCCAGACTGGAAGGAACCAGTGCTCCGGGCCAGGAGTGAATTCCTGGGTCCCAGTGGGGCCCAGTTACTCCCTGTTTGCGGTGGGTGTTGCTATCTACTTACCTATGATACTACTCAGGTTAGAGCTCCTGGGAGGCCTGCTTCCTCTGGGTTTTGTGAAACTGGGTGCAGAGCTGTCTCCCGGGATCTGCTCAGTGCTCGGGCTCAGACTGCAAGTCAGGAACATGCTTGTTCTGTCTGACCATGCAGTGCCGCTGTCATAATACCCAGGAAGGCCCTTACTGGGTGTCAGCACTACACTTGTGGACTATCCAGCTTTTAGAACCATGAGAACTTAAGGAAAACTGGGGATGTGCTCAGTGGTCCAGCACTTGGCTAGCGTGCATATGAGGCTCTGGGTTCTGTTAGCAAGCAGAGGAGCAAGGGGATATTGTGTTGCTTGGCACTTAACCTTACTCTGAATGGAAGACTGTTGTATCTCATTGTGGAAACTAAATACTTTTTCTTTCTCACAGACTCCCACAATCAAAGATGCTCCGAGAAAAGAACCACAATACTTACGTTGCAGGATGTACAGAAGTAGAAGTGCAACCCGTAATTTAGGTCATCTTCTACCAATGAAAACATTACCTGTAAGGTGTTGTCTCCATCAGCATCCAGAGGAGCCTGGACGAGTTTAATGCTGAAAACACT